CGCTATCTCATACACGTGTCAAACTTGTTCAAAAACTCGTGCCGCGGAAACAAATCGTTTTTCCCCCTTCGAGTTCTATTTTTCTCGATATTTTGTTTTTTTTTACTCTTACTTTCATTCGCTACATGATTTGCAAAGTGTCTAGGGCATGCTTCGAATTAATGAACAAACAATGTCGCCACTTTCACTCGACACAAGTTATTATACAGTTTATTCACTATAGTCTAACGGTTCTCTTTTCTATTGTAAAAATTTGATACGAAGGCATGAAACTTTCGAATACTCTTGTATAAACTACTACGAACGTCTTCGTAGAAGAGTAATTCGTAATTCTTTGAATGCCACGATTTTAAATTTTTCCTATATGCATACCATACCGTATTCAAATCATACCAAACCATACGATACAATATCATATCACATTACAACATACCATTCCATACATTGTCGTTTGTCATTGATTGCTTACTCCGTTTTGTTTAACACGCGAAATATTATAATAATCGATAATTAAGTTCGATAAGAAACGTTGTGTTACAATTTAATGATGAAAAAAATTTTTTTTTCTCTTTTTTCTCCATTTATATTTGGTAATCGCAAACGATACGCGTGTTCCAAATTCGTAATTATCGACTGTTCCGTCATCTACAACAGCCATTTAATTACTCGACTATCTACGTAGTGAATAACATTCTCGTTTAAATTTTTTCTTACCGTCCGATATGTCACAATCCCGATAAAACGCAATGTCTTTCTTACATATATGCAGATTCTAGTTTCATTTTCAAGGAGCATCAATATGTGATGTAACGTAGTAATCGTTCAAATATGTGTAATAAATAAGATTTCGTCTACTAAAATAAAAATGATTGCTGGTCAAACCTTTCTTTTTCAAACAGACAACATACGTTGCCATATATATATATATATTTCTATATAACACTTTTCTATCATGGAAATGAAACTTTTCGAGAAGTAAGAAGGACAACCATTTTTGAGATTACATTACACTGATAACATAGAACTAAATTTCTATGTTAAAATTCTTTCGTTACTTATACCGATATAAAATACTAAAAAATATGAATTTTTAAAATAATAGATGAACATTTACTATTTAATCGAATATTAGAAGCTGACCTTAACAGGCTGCCTATACAGAGCAAAAAGAACCTAGAAAAACGTAATTGTCAAACACACAATTCGTTCTTTTCTACTATAGAAATTTTACCAACTTTTTCGATCCAAGCAATTGTAATTAGTTCAAGTATTATTCTGTTGTTCTCTTTTTGACGCGCATTACCTGTACACAGAAATAAGCCGAAAATGGCGTCCTTAAAACGTGCACGAGAACTACGCGATTCTCCGTGCCTCTAATTTCCTAATATCTAATTTCTAATCTCCAATCTTGAACTAATAATCGCGGCAGAGTCAGACAAACGAATACGAACTAATTTTATTTAAAAACTTAAAACAAATCGATTTGATTTTGTGAGACAAAAGTAAAGTTCTTCGGTTAATTAAGAACTGACTGTTAATCTTCTTTATTTTAAGTATTATGATTTGTGTTTTAGACGCATTGCGCTAATGAGTCTTCGCAAGCCGTTAAAACTAAATAGATAATGTCTCTTTGATCAATTTTTTCATTGTGTTTCCCATTGTTGTACTTGATGGACTAGAAGTTGTGAAGGATAATTTAAACAAGTAAGGCTGTATATCTGGATATGATGTGTCAAAGATCAGATCCAATTCAGCTTGATTCGGCATTTTAGGAAGATAATCGTGTCGGTTCATTACTTCCGTTATGTAAAGAATTTTTTCTGTTAACAGATCCCCAACCTTCTCCCTGCATATTTGCCTTTCATGCTCTGTTGCTAATTTTATGAGTTCTAAACGTACAGTCCACACTTCCCACGGTATACATTCTGGTTGGAATGGCCAACGGCTTTTCTTCTTTTGAAAGAATTCCAAAGATATTTGACCAGAACCTGGACTATCGGTTGAGCGCAAAGCTTCAGAAAACCCTGATATTTCACGCTTCAAAGTTTGGTCCAAGTGAACAGAGGAACAGCAAACATAAGTAAAATCAATAAAGTCACAGTCGACATCTTGATATCCTACTGTGCCAACTGAGTAGCTGCCTTCCTGTTTGTACTTAAATTTGCCAAGGCTCCGATGAAATAGTACACTGTGAAAAATACTTGCTACAGCTTCATCCACTTGTCTGCCCTCCATGCTTAATTCAAACAATTGAGTTCTGGCATTCATGGTGATGCCTATACAACAAGATATAAATATTATGTTAACACGGTAGTTTTAGGTAGAAATCTTGAAAAAAAAAGACAAGAAATTAAATATATCTTACAAAAAACTTACTTTCAATTAATAATTTATATAAATAATTTCTCAATGAAAAGATATCTTTAAAAAAAAATTATATTACCAATTAAAGAAATTGTTATGAATAATTTCTAAACATACACATCCTCATTATTGTTTATATAATATATAATAATAAACCTTAATGATAAACCTCACAATGTAATGAATATAATATTTGAATTGGACTCTAATACATGAAACGTAAGCAACAGATAGAAATGAAAATAAGAAAAATGTAATTACGTCGATCAATTCTAACCTCGTAAAAGTAGTAGATACGATGGTTATCACTGGAGACTCGTTGCGATACTGAACGATATTTGGTCATCTTTTAGTTGTAGAAAATAGTCCAGTACTTCGAAAATACAATTAAATGATCGATGAGTAACGTCATAGAAGTAGAACTTGTTACGACTCTTTAAAAACTTCGGAAGCAGAATAGTCGACATGTATACATTTACATTGAAATTATATGAACATTCATGAATACGATTTCTCACTTCTTCGAACTCTTTGTTTGCATTTCTATGTACAGCAATCAAGAAAATTTTACAACTTTCGTTAAATAAGCGTTGCTCAGATTTTTTAGGGCAACTTACTTCTCCGTTCGTTTCTCTTGCTTTGATACACGTATTTTAATTGTCTCGTTTTTCGTGAGAAATACTTCAGAAAAGGTGAATTTGTTGTTGCTCGACGATCGTCATCCGTAACGCATCCACGAATCTGGTTAATTCTTCCATTAAGAATTTCTTTGGACTGTCTTTCCCTCGAATACCTACACCTACAGCATCATTTCCACCACTGTTTCGACGCCGCTGCCACTGCCACCACTCTACAAACGGACTATTTTACCGTTCAAACTCATTCGTCATCGTGGCAGTTTCTGCTTTCCTATTTCACGCGGAACACGTTTCTCTTTATTCTAACCTTTTACGAGGAGACTGATGCACACAAGATGCTTGTCGCGCAAAACTATTTCAACAGACTCAACTTGTATGCTCGGCGGAAAATGTTCGTCTGTAAACAATAACAGCTGTTCTTGTTGCACGCGCCATGTTGTAACTGTACGTTCGATTCTTCGTTGGTATACATTGTACATATATGTTGCATGCACGTTTATTCTTTCGGTCAGTATAAATATAACATACATACCCTGTACTTGAAGACGCCGCCACAATCAAACCACTAATCCCATCGAAAATCTATGAGATTATCTGGAGAAAACGATTCATAAATCATAATATCTATGTATGTACATTTACGAAAGTTTCGAAGCTGCTTTGTTAGAAGAGGGAAGTAAAATATAGTCCGATACGACATCTAACTTAGTAAATTCCATGCCAAGAAGATTCGAAGCTGCATTATAAATAATATACTACTCAATAAAATTTTGTTTAAGTCTTAAAATTTATTACCGATATGGATGTACAAAGTTTTCTTTAAATCGGTCACTATACAAATACTTTCCACACTGACTGTATAGTAAGATCACAAAGCACGTTTCAAATTTCCAAGAAATTAAGCTTCAACGGACGGCTTCAAAAACTTTAAAACGATGTCATACAACGTGTCTGCATGCTAACTATATTAATACACCGCAAAATTATTTTTATTATTATTCATTGCATTTTTATGTAGCCAGTGTTAATTCAAAAGAAAACTTTTTTTTAGATATGCAGAACATATTTTATATAGGATTATGATACTTGATTAAGAAGTATAGGTAAAGCATTTATACATCATTATAAACAATTTTCAAAAATTGAAAATGTATTGTTTGTATATTCAAAAAATGATCAATTAAAGCAGTGTACACATAAGATAGAATTAACAAAAATAAATATAACTTTATTTAAGAAATTTTGGAAACCAATTATTCTTCACATTAACCGTTGTATGTATATACTTCTCCTACAATTCTACATTATAAAAATA